GAAGATTTGATCCTTTCAACTTCCCACAACTGATCAATGCGTATGTGATACGTCATGTAGTGCACGGGATTCAGTTCTGGTATTTCACAAACCATTCTACGGGATTGGTTTGGCTTGAGCTTTCATTGCCCTATTATACCAGTGTTCCATTGAGAAAGTGTGCAGAAGCGCTTCACAAAGCACCTAATATGAGAATACATGACTATGGCTTACCGTTACCGATGTCAAGAACTTGGTCTTGATGCATTGTGTTCGTGTGGGATGAGAAGCAACCTCTGCTACCAATATCAAGTCATCAACGATGGGGTTCATATTGACGACAATAGCGCACACAAAGATACCAATGAACGGTACGAATTCAGAAGCTAAGCAATGAAATTTCGTGTGATGCAGAAATGCAAGAGAAATTCCACTTGGTAGTATGTTTCAGAATATTTGATAAACTTGCTTCTTCGTGTTAGGCATAAAAACTCATATCATTCTCGATTCCCTGCGCAGTATCACACAGTATAACGTCGCACAGGAAGGGGTATAAGGGCAAGATAACGATTGATAGTTCGTGAGTGATACAACACTAGGATCAGATGCATAGCATCACAATTGTCGACATCTGCCTATTTGTCTGAACGACTAAGCATCTAGTGATTGATTCCTATGCGGAAACCGTCGCCAAGTTGAAAAAGAAGAGAGACGTCTTTTTGATTTTCGGGTTTTGGAGCGCCCGCCGTGTGTCTTGGATTGCGACACACAATCTCAATCGTGGCCTCGGTTGACTGTGAAGTCCGCCAATGCTCAATGGCCTAGTGATCGGAGCGACAGCCGCCGAGCACTATGCACCGAGTTCCACTCCCAGCTCGGCTATCCCTACCTGATGAGTTTAAACCAAGATGAAACCGTCGGTCGTGGAGTGCAGGGATGGGACAGCCACACCAAAACCCTCCACTTCGGTGACGGTCCCATTGACTGTAATGACAGAGGCTGACTTCAAAGTCAACCGAGGCCACTGTTGAGATTGCGTGTCGCAATCCAAGACACACGGCGGGTGCTCCAAAACCCGAAAATCAACTTCTAACCACTGTGTCAAACACTGCTCGCGGAGCTCAATGACCTAGTGATCGTGACGATAGCCGTGAAGCACTATGAGCCGAATTCCACTCCCAGCTTGGCTATCTCTATCTGATGAGTCTAAACCAAGAGGAAACCGTCGGTCGTGGAGTGCAGGGATGGGAGAGAGCCACACCGAAAAAGATGTCTATATATTTATTTACTTAATTTTTCTGGAATGGTATTTCAGAGAGAAAAGCAGTGATGTAGTACGGAAAAACATCGTATCGTAACCTGTGTCGCCTTCTAATGGGTTTTTGCATGGAGGCAAAGTGATGGGACATGGTTAGTTGCAGAAAGTCTAGTAAGCGCGACCAGTGATTAAGACAAATGGTAGATGCTAGCCCGTTGTGAAGTTACACTCCACGCCGGCTTCTTACTGGTATGCAATCATCATGCAGACATGGCAGCATTACAGGTCGAACCTGGGAGGTAGGGGCTGCCAATAGGGGGTTTTGACCCTACGCTACTGAATAGCGGGTACTGCACTCGTCGACATACATGGCAGTATGTGAACTTCAAACGTCAAATCTTGTTCCCATTAATCACGGCTAGTAGGTATGACTAGTCGAACGGTGGACGGGAAAAAGCTAACTCAGTGACACCTGGGGCGTTACCCGCGGACTGCCTCGGAGTCATTCGTTTGTGGTATTCCCCAATTAATCGCCAAGCCATCGATCGGTGAAAATTGAGGTTAACGCTTTGTTACACGTACAACCCAAAAGCACACAGGGACATGCCGCACACATCGGAGAGAATTCATTCCACACTTGGTCCGCAGCACGGTGGAAAAGGGAAACGGCGGTGCCTATGGAGCTTGAAGCCTAGACACACCCAGCAGTGACAGTCAGATGATGCGAGGTGACGCAGTCAAGGGAAGCTCTAAGGTAAACAAGAAACTAGTCGGGCACGCAAGCGGCACACGGAGAATGAAGTCGCCACATATGATAGGGAAAGAGACAAAATAACTCAAAGGGATAACTGCATTAGATGCGTTGCACTCGGGTGGATGGAAACCAGGCTACACAGCGCCAACACAAATGGTCTATGCAGATGCTGGTTACAAGTGGGACGAAGTGTAGCCGGATGTGCAAGCTCCGACTTTGGGCACAGTGACATATATGTCCGCGTATTCGTCACGCACAACCACAAGAGGTCACAGAGATGGAGCTCAATTGACAAACGCAAGCAGATGCGAGCAATAAGGATAGATGCTTGCAGGAGACAGTAGCGTAGCCTGAGTCGCAGTGTCCTGCAAAGCAGACACCGGTTGTGACTGCGTGTCACTATCTGTCCACCTAACGGGTGCTTCAAGTGAACCAGCAAAAAAGTGTGGATTGTTTCAATGCGACCAAGTGGCTGACACATGTGTAAACATGCAAACGCAACCAGGAATTGGTGACTCTTTCGTCGAGCTGTGTGAAACCTACCTTAGGGTGCTTTATTAACGAATAGAATGGAAACCTGGCAGAAGAATTCATGCTCGTATAGCAGCGTTATAAGCCTAATCCCGCAACGGGTGATGTCATCATCAGTGGCGAACTCGGTCCGCTTCTTGCATCATTTGTGTCCCAATATTTTCAAGATAATGTGACAGTTCAAACTCTCACTACTCACCGATGACGAAGTAAACTTTGTGACAACGGATAAACCGATCAAAGTATTCAGCGCAAAGTGGACCCCGTTGATAACAGGTGCCATCTCACGTCGATGAACTTCCCAGGCAATGAGTAGGACATCCCCTCCGACTAACTAGGCATGTCATCCGATGCGCAAATGCTGAGAATGTATTCAGTGACACCAAAGATTCATTGATTACTTAAAAGCTTACCAGCGATTTGAGCACGAAGCCACCGGAAGTAACAGTACCACCATAAAGATCGAAAGATATTTGCTTAACCAGAAGGCTATGGCAATCCTATTCCCTCAACTGTGGTATGTGGGAAAAAGTTAACTTGGCAGTAGGCAATGAAGTCACTGACGACCAAACTTCGTGCCATCGATCCGCCTCGTCTACCAGGCTGCAGTCTACGTGACTCACCCTGTGCTTGGCTTGAGGCGCTGCAGGACTCGGCTCGCAGTCGACACCGGTGACTCATCTGCTATCGTCTCCTAGTCGGATTGCCTGTTTAAAATCGGTTTGGTGCTGAGTTATCTGCGGGGTAATGACTGATTATGACGCGTGGCAGTGAAAGCCGCAAGGAAGCTGTCGAACCGATGCAACTTTATATTTGAACGATAGCCAACTTTTTGTGTAGGCGCCTTGACCCCGAGTGTTTGTTTAAGGCTTAACTTTAGGTCCCTCTTCTCTGCCTCTTATTGTTCTTTGTTACGTGGTTGAACTGCAGCGAAGCATCAGTTCAAGTGGTTAATGTACTGCTGTTGATGTCTGTAGGTATTGATGATGTTTCTTGCCATGCTCTCGTTGATATCGGTGACTTTAGCAGGCTCGTGAGTGGTTTTGCCGTCGACGAACACAAGCTTGGTAAAGATTCCTTTCAGGGTTTTGGAGATGCGTTCTCTCATCGCTCATTTTTGGTATTTTCAAGCAGTACAAGGCTAATAAGGTAGACGGGGTTTAGTAGAGTCATAGCTGCCTACATTGTTCCAATAGTTGTGCAGTTGCATAACTTCGACCACACAAAGAGGTATAGAGAAACACGGGAAAACTGGGTCACCGCAATTGATCGAGGTGAACGGCACTCTTGATCAAGAGAAGGGCGTGCACAATGGTCCGCTGTTTACACAGTTTAGTTGCATTAGTGTGACTGCAATGTGATCTGAATGTCGTCCAGTCGCCTAACTCCTCATCACTTGCTAGCAAATTGCTGATTTTATGCCTAACATGCGTGTCCAATCTGGTTCGTAAAACGTCCGAGTTGATTTGTAAAACGTCCAACTTGAAGATAAAATGATATATATATATATATATATATATATATATATATATATCGTGAGGAGTTACGATCAAAAGGAGTAGTACTAAGATGCACCAAAATGAACATTAAATGGAGTTCACAGATGACTTTCAACTAATCCCCAAGTGAGTTACAGAAATATACTAACACATCGAATAGCCTGGATCCACACGCAGTTTTCAAAAAGTAGAAACGGCACAGTTTCCTAATTATTGAGCAAAAAAGTCAAGACTGTTTTCCATAAGGATGTTGGCGGATGTTCTGACGTCGTGATGAACTGGGACTCGAGGGTATTGGTATGCGGCACACGAACAACCATTGTCTGATTGGAAAAAACTGGCCCTTAGTAAAACGACCGCCGCATTTATTGCCCAGAAGAAAAAACGACTGTCGACCTGATGTGCGGTAGCAATGACAAACCATTCACGAGATCAAAATAAACGCTATTAAATGCGCGTAATCCAGACTAAGCTGAATGAATGCAGAGAAGACTAACAACTTAGTATGACCTATAGCGAGTGCTAGAAAACTAGAAAGGAAGATGAACTTCAAAGTTGGATTTAGAGTACCAGCCATATGGTTGGATTGCTATAAGCAATCTCTGTTGAGACTTCAGCTCAGGTTGAAGTAGATTTCAGTCATTCCGATCACAAGGACTGTATTCGAAATAGGAGAAACACCAAAGACAAACTTCTTTAATATAGACTGCACAAGAGGATGGGACTCAAATGTGCTCCACGTTGCGTGTAGATATTTGCAAGTGTCGCACGCGCGCCTATCAGCTGTGACCCAATAACCTGAGTGATGCTGTGTGTTGATGGGCAGTGAGTCTCCGATAATAAGTACTATCCACAGTGAGCTTCCAAATTAGTCAACTACCATGAGAGAGACGGGTCGAATAAGCAAACAGGGAAACAGTGAGCAATTAAACAACAGTTGGAGAGCCACAGTAACCTACAACAGAGAAAACTAGAGGGCGTCGACGCCGGAAAAGCCTAAAAGCAGAACACATGCTTTTCGAAGAGAAACATCTATGCGAGTGGGAAAATCAGGAGCAATAAAGCGGCCACAATGGAAATATTACTAAAGGAAGCATAAAAGCAGTTTTTTTGCAGAAAAAGATTAGACAAGGAGCATTGCAGATAAATAACACCTGGTTTGGGATGAGTACACGGATGGAAAGTCACGATCCGCCTGGTGGGGTGGGGATGTGAAATGAAAATGAACTTGTTCACAGATCGCTTGGTGTGCATACATTAAGATAATTACACAGAGTTGTCAGAGACCGTAGGTGGTTTTCAAATTATATATATATATATATATATATATATATTGTATATATATATCAGTACCGCAAGTAATCGAGGCAAGTGAGGATGCCCTCAACAGTGCAAAGTGAACAAATGTAAGACTCTGTACATCGGTCACGTTCAACTAATCAAGCTGGAGTCTGAAATGGCAAAATCCGCAGAGGGGGGAGTGAGACCGAAAGAGTTAATGGAACCGTCCGTGGCTGAGAGTTGAGAACGTGGTACAGTGGATGAAGTATGATAATCTGGGGGTGGTGGGGGGGCTGAGGGCGACTGATCCATAGACTCAAGGGACTGGGCGCATTCGTTGTTCAACTGGTGGTTAGCATCCCAATGCAATGCTCTGTCACAGGACAGATTTTGGGAGGTGTAGAACGGTGACTCAGGTATCATCCTTAGATGGGTTTCCGAACCCCTTCGTGCTTCACGCATACTAGTCGACGGTGCGGAACCTGAGTGGAAGGCGGGCATAATGATGAGCTGATTATCCGCGTCTGCGGACAAAATGAACGAATGTCTGCACGGGTTGTCAGCTGCGGAGGCGGCAGTGTTCCGTCGTTGTACAGGTCGCGTGACCATCTCATGTGCAAAGGAGGCCAGTGGTGAAGGGAGACGCGAAGTGGGATTCCCTTCCCGTGCGCGTGATTGCATACGATTGCGATTTGCCTTCCGACGATAAAAGTACCAGTTTCGAAGTAACTGCACGGATGCGGTGCTCCCCAAATGTGTGCCAATCATTGAATTCTGTGTGCGCAATAGGAAGAAAGAGATGTCAACAGATAAGACGGTTGAAAAATGCGGTGTATGAAGTTTTTTAAAAGAATTTTTTCAAAGGAGAAATGGTAAGGCACGCATCCCATTGAAAACTGTATAAGCAGTGAGTAAAGGAACAGAGAAAAGGCTAAATGGTGCACGGTACTAATACAACCGGCGAGCAAACGGTTACTGCACTGGGTCTGAAGAGGTCACCACTTGCCTGTTCTCAGTCATCATAAGACCAGTGCTTGAGTGTTGCCTATCTATCTATTGTCCGTTCACCTGACGCGATGCACATAAGATCCAACAGGTTTGACACGTCGCTACTACGCGCATTTCAAGTTCGAGTTTATCTTAACAAGACCGAAGCTGTACACATCGCTCCATCGCCGGGTAAGAATTTAACTCATTATGGTCTAACGTCTTACAAATCTCGACGAGTTCTACATGTTGAAGTCGCTGTTCCACTCGCGAAGACCATGCAGGGCATTCGAACATCAGTGCAAACTTGGTTGCAGAGCCTGAAACGACTTGCGCATCTCCTGTAATTCAAACGGAAAGTATTCAATGTTCGGAACTCTTACAGAACACGTAGTAAAAAGCCAAATCTGTGCAGCAGCTTAAAAGCTTGCTGGATTCACATTGCACCATAATTACATTTAGAGAACGATAACCCAATGAAAATGAACGTATACATTTGTGACTCCTGCAATACACCAAGATACATTTAATATTACATGAGAAATTGTAAGACAGTTGCAGTAATGGCAGGTGATGGATGCATTTATAACGTCTTTGATCACACTTCGGAGTGATGGAGCTAAAATTCCCCTTGCTCCCATAATACAATATTCAGCTCTTCAGACAGGCAAACAGAGCTGGTGATCGAATTTTGGGAAATGATGAATGCCCACAGACGTATGCACGACCCCATCATCAGGGTACGCGAGCGAGGATTGTTACAAGGATTAGATCAAGTTGGGCTGTGATGCACTATGACATAAAGACCGATCAGTTCCGTCAATGGGACTGCATCCGAGGAGTCACAAACATCAGGTGTGAATCGTCTCCAACCGCAGTATATATATATATATATATATATATATATATATATATATATATATATATATATATATATATATATATATATATATATATATATATATATATATATATATATATATATATATATGCCCCTGCTGAGGCTGATGTTGCATTCATGATGCTTCTTCACCGCAGTTGGGCTAAACCAACTTACACTTAAACTAGGTCTTTTAATGTGGATAAAATTCATTCCATTTTATTTGGTTTGTCCTGTGTGCTTGATAATCTTCTCCCAACTTGCACACGTCGCTCATGCAAATTGTGGTAAACTTGCGTGATTGTATCGCGTGGTATTTTTTCAATAACTTTCGGACATTTTGTACTTATCGCGTATTCACCTTTAACCAATTTCTTCCATATGCCCATTTAGCGAGTATTTATGTCGTCATATGCGTTTACTTTATTCGATATCGGCATTTCGAATGATTGGCTGTTGTTTGACATCCCAGGTGTGGCTGCACTTGATGTGCATGCTGACAAAGTGCCTACCTGTCTATTACCTACTACCTCGTCCATCTGGCTCCAGGAGACAGTTAGTCGTTGCTGGAGGGGACGGGGTGCACGGTCCTTGTGGTCGTGCTAGGCTCGAAGAGTGGTTCCATGCAATCAGTGTGGAGCGGACTACGGTCCAGCCATCGCCTTGTGTGTACTTGATTCTCCAAATACAGCGTGTTTGTGTTTGCCTGTGAAGGAGTGTGGGCCGGCTCTGTTGATGAAACGTGGCTGCCATCCACATATCTCCCGGTCTTATTCCTTCGGGTTTACACTGGATATGGGGTGTGTGGATGGAACTGTGGGTGGTGCAGCGCAAGCCATCCATGGTCCCTCTGTAGGTGCAGGCGTCCTGTGGCTGACCACAGTGACAGGCAAATCCGAAACCGGATGTCGCCAACCATATATATATATATATATATATATATATATATATGTATATACAACACGGCCAGCATTAAAATTGGCATAGTGCCAGAACGTAAGGAAAATGCAGTAAACAAAGGAAAAGAGAAAAAAAGAATGTAAAACAGTGTTTACGGGAGTACAGTGTCACAATATGTCCACTAGTATGTACGGTTTCTTGCCATATTCGAAGGGGTTTCCATCCATGCATGTTTCTGATCCTTGCACCCCCAGCTAGGTAGTCGACAGCGCCCGACCACAGCTAAATTTGAGGTTAACTCATTCATACTTCCGGCCCAATTTGTAGGCTAATCACTTTGTGTTTTCGTTTCCAGCCGACTTCTGCGGCGCGAGAAGAGGGCACGGCGAATCAAACAATGAACAGGCATGCGAAGTATGTGTCACTGCACTATTCTATGGACTACCAAAAGTACAAATGGATGGAATTCCACTACGACCAATCGTCTCGCTCCCCGGAACCCCATCATATAAGCTAGCGAAGGATTTGTGGAGGAGGTTGAAACATTTGATTGTTGGATCGGAACATAGAATCAACAATGCTGAACAATTCCTCAACAAACTGCGGTGTCAGAATAGATGACGAAATAATGCTTTCATTCGATGTCACCACAACCTTCACTTCACTCGGTCACGAATTGGCCAAAAAAACCATGATGGAACTACTTGAGAAGCAACTAAGCCCAACGACAACCATACGACCTGAAAGCTTTTGGGAACTCCTGAACCTCGGCATGATCACTTATTTTCGCTTTTATGGACAAGTGTACTAGCAACTGAGAGGAACACGCATGGGATCCCCAATTTCGGGACTCGTTGCAGAAGTCGTAATGCAGAAATTAAAGCGAATTGCACTGCCAACTATCAGCCCAAAACTCTGGATGCGATACGTGGACGACACATTTGTCATTGTAAAACGGAACAGTGTAGAGGCCACGCACGGTTTGCTCAACAACACATTCGAGTATACCGAATTTACGATTGAATTAGAGGAGGATAACAAGTTACCATTTTTGGATGTACTGGTCACTAGGAATACCGACGGCTCTCTGCAAACCTGTGTATATCGGAAGAAAACACATACGGACCAGATATTAAAATACCACAGCAATCACCCGATGAATCACAAGAAGAGCTAAATACAAACAATGTTCAAAAGAGTGGGAACGCACTGCAGCACAGCCGAATTGCGGAAACAGGAAGAAAATCACCTAAATCGAGTGTTTAGAAACAACGGCTATCCGAGAAATTCCATCAGAAGAAGCTTAAAGAAACGAATGTCCCAGCAACAGCAGCAGCAGCCACCTGAGCAAGCAAGCAAACAAACGCATAATGCTTCCCTATGTCAGGAACGTCTCCGAACACACAGCAAGATTGCTGCCGTCACATGGAATCTCTGTGGTCAACAAACCAAGTGCTACCCTAAGGAAATTAATCCCAAGATCCAAAGAAAAAGTCAATCAAGCCGACCAATGCAATGTCATCTACCAGATAAAATGCAGCGACTGCGATAAAAACTACGTCGGACAAACTGGAAGAAAGCTTTGTACACGAATCACCGAACACAAGGTGATCGTCAGAAGACATGATCCGCACGCATTGATTTCTGCGCATGAAGATCAAGAAGGCCATCATTCCGATCTGGAGAATGTCAAGATCCTAGCACAGGGAAGTACAAAGCACGCGAGGGAGTTTTGGAAGCCTGGTAATCTACAACGAACTTAATCAAAAGAGACATCGAACTGGACGCAGTAAACGCAATATTACGGGGGAACAACCGCCAACGCGATCGACGGAACCAGATGGAACGTGTGACCAGTCAACCAGAACTGACGACAGACTCGCTCACAAGCTCAAGCAGACGAAGGCCACGAAACACAAGGAGTCAAGGTCATCTGCCCATCAACCAGGCTGAACGCGGATCGAAATCCCAACCAATAGGGTTGCGCGTCGCCACGGGCAACCACGGCGGTATAAAAACGCACGCACACCACGCTCAGCGCACTCTCACCGAGTCCCCTCTGCGCTAGTGCACGCCACTCAACTACGAACTGATGACGGCACATCGATTGGTGACGAAACGTTTGCAACAAAATTGCCAAACTCAGCGAACAGTTCAATGGCCATCTGAACAACCTGAGCTACCAGTCTTCAATTCTATAGCCAATGATAGTCAGCTGTTTGCGAAAATATGCTGTTGACAAGGTGCCTTGACCCTGAAGGTTCGTTTAGGGCGTTAACATTTCACGCTAGGTCCCACAAACACACACACACACACTCTCTCTCTAACCTTATCCTTCGTTCCGTAGGTCCCTGTGGCTGTACAGCAGAGAAGCAACAGTTAAGATGGCTGATGTACTGCTGCCGTTAATGACGAGGATGATGCAGATTACAGTCACACATTTCGCGTCCAGTATAGTTCCAACTAACCCAATTGGTAGTGTAAACATTTCGCGAGAGGTGATGACCTGACGCAAGGGAGACAGCAGTCGTCATTCTTCAGCAGCAATGCTGAACAACGCTTCGTACCGAGAATGTAGTTGCATGCGCATTCAGACTTCAAGGGGTGACCACATGGCACAAAATATCGTTCTGTTTTGGATCGAGAATGCCGAGACAACTCAGCGGTGAAACAATGACACTGTAGTGATAACTATAAGTCAAGCAGACTACGTTCAACATGCGTCATGGTAAGGAATCAAAGTAAGCGGTGAACGCGTTTCGGAAATGAATACAGACACAGAAGATGCTAATGTTTCGAGTCACTGACTTCTCGAAAAACAGTGTGTTACCGATAAATCGGCAGCGGATTCAAGCAACGCGTAAGACTCCCGGATCACATCAGAATTCAAGGCCAGAAGTGCGTTAAGGTGATATTTTTACAATGGGTAAGGCAACAAATTATATACTGACCTTGACAATATCCACCATAAAATGTACAACAGCTTTGTTTTCAAAATAAAACCGGG